TACAGCAATATGCAGAAATTCTGACCACTCTGACTCATATTTCAACTATATATAAAATATATCAGAAATTATGGGATATGGTCACTGATATTTTTTTGAAGTTGCCTAGGATCAGTAGTATCTGAAAAAAATATCAGCGATGATATCCCATAATTTCTGATATATTTTATATATAGTTGGAATATGAGTCAAAGTGGTCAGAATTTCTGCATATTGCTGTATATATATATATATGTACACACACTAGCGTGTGCCAAACCCTATAGTAGCGCGAACAAAAGGTGCAATCTGTACCTAACTGAGCAATATATTATGATATGTAAGCCAAACACAAAGGAAAAGCATTTCAACGTGAAGGTTTATGCTTATAAGACCTATGTAAGTGTAGCRTTAAATGTCMATTAAACTCCTGATGAGTGATGTAGAGAAACCCTGTTTTACAGTATGACCAAAATGTATATATATAGTGAATGATACTTACATGATCCATTTCACTACCGGTTTGCTCCTTGCAAGCATACAATTCTCGGCAACGCCTGCATATTGCTAAAAGCAAAATAACAACACTAAGCATTATCAGTTGAAGAATTGACTGCAATTTCGTCTATTCAAGATGTTTACTTACACGACCCAACAGGAAGAAGTACTTTCGTTCTCCTGAAAATTGCTTGAGACAATTCTCTACTGAGAGATCGATCCCCCTTTGTTCCAGTTTTAGAGTGTGCAGCTATAGTTGATGGTACTTGACATTGTTTATATTGGCCCCTCCAATAAATGCCTAGCTGATCACGATGCTTTGGGCATACAACTATCTCCTCTTTCGTTGCAGCTGGTTCAAATATTCCTGTGTAGCAGATGATTAAAAAAGACTGATTTACAAAACCTACAATTATTCAAGCGAACAAAAAAGCTGCTTACCTGCTCTACAAAGTATAAGCTCTCCTTCAGTTGAGATACCACCTTTGTTTATTTTCATGAGTTGTAGATGGCCAGAAATATCGCGTTGGCAGTGCGCGAGAGTGACCATCAATCCGTCCCCCTTTGATGTATGTGCCGAAGCACCGCACTCTGTATCTACAATCACGCCTATCCCGCATTTCGCCATATGAAGAATACGTATAGAAATACAGTATAGATAAGTCTAAAGATCAATGTCGTTCCTCTCGTATAGTAGAAACCAGCTTTGTATAAAAGCAAGGGCGGCACTGCGCAATTCTCACCTAATCATAAAACTGTCTGACACTGTCTATAAACGCGAAACCATTCAATGAGTCCACCCATCAATGATGCAATATTAACGTGAAGAATTATTTTTTTAAACTTTCCACCTATATTCCTATATATTTNAGTGTGTCTGTGCTGTATCAAGCTGAGTCTCGTAATAATTTTGCTTGTTCTCTTTTTTGTTTTGTTTTGTTATTTAATTATTTAGAATCTTAGCTAATCCGCATTTTTTCATTTTGTTTTCGCTTCGACATATGTAATTAGTAGCTAGATCAATTATTTATCTTTTTACACGCTTTGCTTTGTCCTGATTAGTAGAAACAAATAGCTGTATATGTAGTGTTTTTGAAATGCAATAAGGTCTTTAAATTATAGCATATTTTTTTTAATTGTTTAATTTATTTATAATTGTTTTAAGGTATTTAGAATATTATAGTTTGCGTGTTCGGTTGTAATTGTAGGATCGTGGATTATAGAATAGGATAGTTTGTGTTTCCGTAGTGTTTTGGATTGTAAGTTATGGAGTTATTGTGTAAATATACATTTTATCACATGGAAAAAAAAATCAAACCTGAGACCTTTGCTATGGTCATGGACCTTGATATCTGATAAAGGTCACCCTTATTAGTATTTATCAGATATAAAGGTCCATGCATGTGACTAAATAGGCTCATTCTATTGGCCTAATAACTCATTAATTATGTATGAGTTTTTTAAATAATGTTTTTTCATAATGGCAACTCAGTACTGTTAATTATTTCCATGATTGCACAAAATGTTTTTTTAAATACAGATTAAGTGTCTTGCTATAGTACAAATTAAGCCAAAATTATTTAGTGATTAGTAATAATATAGCAAATGCGGCCAGATACTGCAGTTAGATGGTAGTTACTTAATTTTATATGAAGTCGCTGTTCTACAGCATCATAAGCTATAGTAATATAGCAATTAGATAGGGTTTCAATACCTGGTTTAAAAATAGCTGTCAAGAAGCTGTTAACCAGCAAAATAAATAAATACCATTGGTCAAATATTTATTAATATCATCGTTAAATACATGATAAGTACATTAGTTAAGTACAAATGAAGTGGTAGTTAAGTATACATTGATTTTCGCAAGGGTACTAGTGCAATTTTATTTCAATTTGATAAAATCTTTAATAAATATTCCAAAGTTTTAAAACGCCAGCAAAGCCATGAAGTCTCAATTTTATCAACAATTCTTCATTTAGGCGATATCCTGCGGTGAGAAAATGCGACCTCTGACTTAATTTGATCAAACAAACAAAACAGCCATAGACTGTAAATGCATAAATGAGCAGCAGCGAAGCAGCGATCAACACTGTCTGAATAGTTGCTAAGTAATTCAAGCTTTAACGGGCTATTAAAAGTCCAATCAACCGACTCTCGCGTTGAACAAGAGAAGAAATGAGCGAACAGCTCTCCTAACTGCCTAGCTCGGTGGAAAGAAGCAAAATTTTACCCAAGAGAATTGAAATAACGGTAAGAATTTYAGAATTTCAGATTAACTTCCTGGTGAACGGCAAAGATGACGACTGCAGTCTTATAACTTGCTTCTTCTATTAACCTGTTATCAAGACACAATTACGAGTACTTASTATCGTAAAACATTCTTGGATACTCACAGGCTGGCGTTTTTCTCCATTTTATTTCTACGTAGTCTTTCAGTGAAATTGATAAATGCATCAAAATGTGCAGTATCAACTTTTTCTTTACAGGTTCGTTTTTATGTTATCTTTCTTAAAAAAWTTATCTTTTCGAGCCCGAATAGGGCTTGATTATATGAAGCGGGATGGTCCAGGCTGCTTGTACGCTTTGCTTTCGTTTCCCTAGGGAGCTGTAGGGAACAGAGGGAGACACAAACTTGCGTTCGAGTTCGAGTTGGACTTCGAGTTGGATTTCGTGTTSAGATATAAAAGATATATATTACTCGGCGAAACGGGATTCCCGCGAGAACATAAGAAATTAACCAGGACAGGCCGTGTTATATAACCAGTCCCTTGACTAGCATTTGCCACTGCACTTCTTGTTTATGCATCGTACGTTAGTTGGCTATGAAAGGGTGATATTTATGCATGGATTGCACAGGCCATGAGTTTTATGATTACAAGAGTCAGTGAGAACAATATGATTATCACAAGTACAAAGCCCGAAGAACATAATTTTACTTTTAAGAGTACAATATCGAGAACAACACAATTTTTATGCGAAATATATTGACTGTCAATCATTTTTTGAYAATTAAATTTATAACAAAGAAATGAAGTTTCAAGGAAAGGGGTTCTAGATTGCCGCGTTTATTGAAAGACATACTTATTTGTCAGCAGATCCATGCCGTCCTATTGGCTGATTCTTGCTGTTCTTGGTGCATTAAATGGTAAGTTATAAAATCATTAACTCATAGCATTAAAATCCTTTTTCTTTTTTCCATGACTCTTCTTCCTAATTAGTCGGGTAACCACTATGTTATCGTGTTGTAAATCCTGTATATGAGCAATCGGTAACTGAAGCCTCCCCCTGTAATTGCCCATGTCTGCCCTATYATCCCTCTCTTAAAATAATAAGAGCCAAAAAGACACAATCAAATGTCAAGAGTTGCAAAAAAAACACACAATTCGAGGGTTTTCGCAGTTGTTCTTTGATGTCTGAGCACCATCCGATCGTAGGATCTCGTGTGATGAATATGGGCAGTTARCATCGTTGTACGACGTGTTTCTCTATGCTATATTAAGACTTGACTAAAATTATATCACCTTACGAGTATCCTTGACATTCAGTATGAAGTCACCGGACACCCCCGATGATGACGTAGCGCGAACATTGAAGAGGTGTCTAAAATGGTTTCCAATCTCGAAATTTGTAGAGAGTCTAAGACGCTTTTTTTGTTACCATTTCTATGTTATATTTTTCCTTGACATCTATTAAAAGATAGAAAATCTTAGAATCGGATTCACTCTGTTATCGCGCAATCGCAAAATGATGTTAGACTATATTGCGAATATATTAGTAGCATCTAACCCAAGAACAGATTTGGTAAAATATGCTTAGCTTTATCAGTT